GATTCAAAAACATGAAAACCCATTATAAACGAGGCATTTGTTGCATCCAGTGGGGACATAATTACGGATTATAATGACTTATACTGTCTTTTAACGCGTTGCATTGCGCCGCATAAACATAAAACCATGTCTGCATTTGTGATCGGAGAGATGACAAACAACAAGCGCTACTCTACACTGCTCAAAACTCGCGTTTGAATCATCAGTGGCAAATTCTTTATAAGTACCTATGAAAACGTACTTACAGGCTGTGAGTCAGCATTATTTGTCAGAACACCGGCATTGTAGTCTACTCTCCCAGGATCAGGAAACAGTCCTCGTCCTCCGTAAAATGTGCTGCACACATCTGAAATTTTGGGTTGAAGTGTTCTGGAACAGTGTTGTAAATACAACTTAACCACTGATTTCTAGTCGTGTCCTCTTTTGGAAGACCAAACAAAGTAGTTTCACTTTCACAATGAAACACAGAGCGTCTACACGACATGGCGGCAGCAGCAACAATACTACAGCGAGAATAAAAGTTACGCCTTCTTTCTTTGCGTGAACATTTGGGCGGCGTTATGCAAATCTTCCCACACAGTGATGTAGATATGTGGGGGCGTGTTAGAACGAGCCGTTTTAGGTAGGCGTGGACCAGTCTTAACTTTTATAATGAGAACAGCTTCTATCTATGCACGAACAGCTTTGTAACACTCCAAAGAGAAAGGAAAACTTGAAATCGCACCATATGACCCCTTTAAAAAAAGCTTCAAATCAAAATTCTGATAAAAAGTGCAGCACCAAATAAGTTTTTGTATTTGGTGCTATGCTTTTTATCAGAATTTTGATTTTGGTGTGTAGATCCAAACACAAAAATACAGGCAGAAGCTCATGTAGATTTAGTCCAATGAGGCTACAAAAAAAGTGAAGGGTCAAACCCAAAAACATTTTGCATTTGGCACTTTTACACGTTTTTGTGACCTTAAAACACACACACACACACACACACACACTGTATTGCAGTGATGAGAATCACCACTGAGAGTAATTAAAATTGAATGATCTCGTTCACAAACCCAGCAGGGGTTAAAGCAAAAAACTATTTTTTGACTGAAAATGTTTCCACAGCCAAACCCCATTCCTCAGCCATTCCTGTCACACACCCAGTTTAAGAGCAGTTTTTTTCTTGTAATTAGGAGCGCTTGTCCTCTTAATTAAAAAAAATTTGGAGCACCTTCTGATCAATAATACAAAATTCTGATCAAAAATTTGCCTTCCTAATATGAGGTGACTTTTGACTCAAAGTGACTTACAGGGGCATTTTCTTTTTACCTTTGTACTGGCATTTTTCTAATTTTATTAAATGTATGCAGTGTTTCCTAGGATTTTTTCCAGCTGTGGTGGCAGGACTATTTCTCATGGACCACGTCCCCTCCCCACCCAAGAATCAGAAGCACTCAGAATTTAATTTATTTGAACTAAAAAAAGACAAGTAAATAGTAAATAATAAAATAAGAACAAATAAATTAATGACAATCAATAGCACAAACAAAAACAATAACAATAACAAGATACAAATTAAATTAACAGTACTTTATTTTTTTCAGTTAGGTCTAACTACAATCTATTCAACTGTAAAATAACACTGGTTAGTCTTCACTGTATAATGGAGGGTTATTTAGGCTGCTGTCTCTTTAAGACCTCATGCATTAATATACTGATACATGGCTCTATGCTTACTTTTCTTTTTAGGAGCTCTTGTCCTCCTAATTAAAAAAATTTAGGAGCGCCTTCTGATCAATAATCAAAAATTCTGATCGAAAATGATCCTTCCTAATATGAGGTGGCATTTAACTTCTTAAAGTGATTTACAGGGGTATTTTCTTTTTACCTTTGCGATGGCATCATTTCCATCTGTCAAATTCAAAAATGTATGTTTATAAGCTTTTTTAAATTTCTATTTAAAACAATATAATAAGAAGTAGAATAAGACAAATAAGTTACCAATCATATGAATTAGTATTAATAAAAAATTAATTTATACTACAGAGGTGGCACAGAAGAACACAAAAGTGGCTTGTAGGTACATTTTCAGACATTCAATGAGGCTCAGAGGTGGTATGAGTGCAATTAAATTCATACATTTATGTGGAGATTAATGTTTTAAATATAACATTTTGAATACAGAAATATTAAGTGATTTAAATAACTGAAATTATACCTAAAAATGAAACTGAAACCGCCAGTAGGTGGCGGCAAATCACGGATTTTATCACTGAATCATTCATTCAATTGATTCATTCAAACGGCTGAACATTCAGGAATGAAGCAAGTGACTGTCTTTATGAATGGGTGATCATGAATCACTGACTCACTAGATTCGTTCAGAAATCTAGGGAAGTTGTGGCCTAATGGTTAGAGAGTCGGACTCATAACCCAAAGGTTGTGGGTTCGAGTCTCGTACCGGCAGGGATTGTAGGTGGGGGGAGTGAATGTACAGCGCTCTCTCCCACCTTCAATACCACGACTGAGGTGCCCTTGAGCAAGGCACTGAACCCCCAACTGCTCCCTGGGTGCCGCAGCATAAATGGCTGCCCACTGCTCCGGGTGTGTGTTCACGGTGTGCATGCTCACTGCTGTGTGTGTGTGCACTTTGGATGGGTTAAATGCAGAGCACTAATTCCGAGTATGGGTCACCATACTTGGCCACATGTCACTTCATGTCACTTCAAATGCACTTTCATTCATGAATGAAACACCGCTGTGTTTGCTTTTAGAGATGCGCAGCGGCTGAGCTGTAACTATATTTTGAACTATTTTCGTTGATGAAACAGAGCAAAATCAGGCAGTACTTGTTTATTGAACTGTTGTATTAAATCAATATCACATTTGCAAACTCCTTTAATAATTATTCAAATATGTCACTCTCCTTATCGCGATCTGTGGGCGCACAAAAAATGAGAGCACGCGAGTGAGTTCTCAAGACTCAAAAGCACGTGCAAATGATACGTTCACATTCATACCATTCATACAGTGTCATCGCGTTATAAGCGCGGAACCTAATAGCCGCAATCCGGTGCCTGAAATTCAAGTCCTGCTCTGTGTTCTCTGCTAATAACCCGACTGTGAATGATGCGAGCGGCGTCACTATGTTGTCAGTGAGAAGCTGCAGCCGTGGCTGGGGATGATTTTTGGTACAAAAATCAACAATGCGCTAAATGTTTCTTTTCCCCTCATTTTTTCCAATGAATGGAAATCCGTCGTAGCGACGGAGAACTTTAATCCCTGAACCAGTCTGAATGATTTGTTATGAATCTGGATCTCTTTGGGATGATCAATGATCCAGTTGCAAAGATTCTCAGACAATTCAGAATTATCAGTGAATAACAACATGAATTTCAGTCTGATGTTTGAGCATTCGAGTCTTTGATGACACTTTCATGGCGTTTTGCAATCCTCATTCATTTGTATTGCATTAAAAAGAGTGACTAGTATATTACTACTAGTACAAAGAATGAGGAGTAATTATAACAGTTCTGCTACAATCTGGCTGGACTATAACATCATACATAAAATCACAATGCAAAAAATATTTCCTAATTTTTTTCTTTACAGTGAATTGGACACATGTTTGTGAGAAGCTCTGTAGATTTACAGACCCATAAGCAGACGTGTGTTTGTTGATGTAGTGAACAGCTGTCCCGTGTGTGTGTGTGAGAGAGCTGCATATAGGCCAGATCGCTGAAGTTGCCAAAGCTCTTGCAGGTCATGCTCTCTCTCACACACACACACACACACACACACACACACACACACACACACACACACACACACACACACACACACACACACAGTTATGTGCTGGTGTTTGCAGCACATCACTCAGAATCCCTGTCCTAGCAGGTTTGACAAATATGAACTAACTCTGGCCTACCGCAGACGCTCCTGATCTCTCGCTTGTTTCGCATGCGTCAAACATTCGCACACATCAGAGGGAAGCAAAACCAATTAAAAAGTTTCAGGGCTAAAAATAAGCCTCAGCATCTCTGGAGACAAGCTTTACTTCATCATATTTAGCTTGATTCATATCTGTTTCACGGCTAGCAATTCAGTTAAGAGGGATCACGCTTCAGTCACCATCTAGGTTTGATCAGCTTTTTTAGAAAATCATATGCAAATTAGGTAGAAATGTAATGATACTTACAATATTTAAACGGGTGAGATCATTTCACAGCTTAAATTAACATCCATCCAATCCAATCAGAAGTGATCAGCGCTGAAATAACAGCAATCAAATTAAAGAGGCCGTATGTGCACCAAACTTAAAACTGGACATATCATCTTGGATGTACCTGGCATCCACACACACACACACACACACACACACACATACATACGCACACTAACCTGTGTGTGCAGTTACCCAAGCTACCCTAATCCTAGCAGAGCTCTTCACACGATGTGGTGAAGTGAAGTAAGACTGAGAGCGGGTCGAGCCCCAAGGGCGCCTGATCCTCACAGCTCATTAACAGCTGCACTGGAGCTCATGTGCACAGAGCTGCTGATTCCCAGCTATGGCTCTTAGTGTTGTTCTCTGTTCCTCTCTGACAGAGATCTGGTGCTGAATGCTGTGTCATTTGCATGAGTTATCATTAATATGGCACACAATGGTAAGATTTGACAAAGGCTGACTAACTCTTGAGCGTGTCGGACTCCATGGCCCTCCGCAGAGGCATTCGTTAAACATTTGCACACATCAGAGGGAAGCAAAACTAATTGAAAAGTTTCAGAGCTAAAAAATAAGCCTCGGCATCTCTGGAGACGAGCTTTACTTCATCTATTCATATCTGTTTGACGACTAGCAAGTATGAGTGATCACGCTTCAGTCGCCATCTAGGTTTGATCAGCATTTTAGCAAATAGAAGTTTTGTATGCAAAATAGCTAGAAATGTAATGATACTTACAATGCGTGCACATTTCCAGGGGATAACTTGCCTCATTTCCCTACAAAAGAAGAACATAAACATGTAGATTTCATGAACCTTTCTTAAATGTACTACACATGACCTCTCTCTTACAGACATTAGATTAAAGTCAAAGACAGCAATGTATTATATAATAAATAATAATATTTTAGGGATCGAAAACACTGTAATTTGGGAGACATTCAAAGCCAGTAAACCATTAGGAAGATTTCAGATGAGCGCAACACCTGTGAAGAGACGACGCCAACTCTGCATCAACGGTAGATTTCATGAACCTTTCTTAAATGTACTACACATGACCTCTCTCTTACAGACATTAGATTAAAGTCAAAGAGAGCAATGTATTATATAATAAATAATAATAAATAAGCATCATATTTTAGGGATCGAAAACACTGTAATTTGGGAGACATTCAAAGCCAGTAAACCATTAGGAAGATTTCAGATGAGCGCAACACCTGTGAAGAGACGACGCCAACTCTGCATCAACATACAAACCCGCCAAATGAACCTTATATTGTAATGATCACGATTACATCATGCAAGCTTTGCTTTAATGTCACAGGCATCTCTGATATCTGGATCTCGTTTCTAATGTAGAAATACTGGACTTCTGTAAAGCTGCTTTGAAACGATATGTATTGCGAAAAGCACTTCACAAGTAAAGGTAAATTAAATGCAGTATGAGGCATTTTAAAATGATGATGAGGTCTAATATATCGTTATGTCAAATGAAATAAAAAATTTTTTAATAAATGTTGAAATAAAAAATAAATCTTGAATAAATCTAAAAAACAAAAATCTGTTTTTGGTGATGTACAAATAAATAAATATTTATTTAAATAATAAATAAAACTAATTTTCTTTTATTTTTTAAGCACATTACAATAAGCAAATAAATTAGCCTACCATTGATGCCCTGCCAATCTGTTCTTATTTAGATCATTTTGAAACTTTAACAACAAAAATATTAACAACAGAATCCTACATACTAACGTCTCGTGCATAACCAGCGATACAAACCAAACGCTGCTCTGTTCTAGAAGATGAAATACTAAATGGCTCCACTCTCTGTATCTCCATCTGCTTTGATTGATTATTTATAAAGTCCCATCCAGTTCAAGGGCTCAAAGGCCCATATTCTGTCTCTGTCACAGCAGTGAGGGACAGATGAGAGACTGATTCATTCTCTGTAATAAATGAAGCTCATACACAGGTAGTGGAGCTCCACCAGGAGCAGCTTTTACTTAGTTTTAAACATTTCAGGTCTGGATTCTTTGTGTGTTTTGACTAAACAGCAGCGGTTTGCACATTAGCGCTATGTCAGGGTGAATGTGTGATGTGTGTGAGTGTATCTGGGTTTGGTGTTGTGCAGCAGCGTGGGCTTTGTGAACGGATCATGTGATCAGCAGCGAGAGCTGAAGCCCCACAGCAGCAATACAAAGAGATGGAAAAAGCTACAATTGGGCTGGCTATCGAAACAAATTTAGATACAAAGATTTGAACGGGAGAATCGTTCAGTCAGAGTGCAGAACTCGCGCAGGACTGAAGTCTTGAGCCGCTTCAGTGATGAGCGCGTTCTCTGCACTACTCATTCCTAGCTTGAATAACCCTTTTGATTTTTATTTGGCTACTGAAATAACCAATGTGAAGTCCTGATGTTCTAATGCATCTGGTTAAATTCTGGGAGAGATGCACAGGCAAAGCTCCCCAGCATTAGCCTGCCTTGCCTATGAATATATTTGTTTGCAGAAAGGCTTCAGTGATCCAGAACGTGTGTTATGCTGAAATGAGGCAGGCGGTGTGAACGCTGTGCATACAGGTCACAGCACCACAGCTGTTGGGCCTGCAAACGTCTTGGGTTGTTCTCGGTCCGTGCGTGGCTTCTGGACAGAAAGCAAACTTGTATGAACTGTGTGGATCAGATTCAGTTCAGGTGAAACGGACTGTAAACGGTATCCTCTTTTTACTGATTAGAATTATTTTTGCTGCGTGTTTGTAAGAAACAAATCCATCATTAAGATACAGGACACAGACAGTCCCGCTTGTTTGAGCGCATAACATTTAATCATGATGTTAAATATTATTTTTTGCATTAGAGTAATTTTAACTGTACAGCAAAAAAAACAAAAAACATACTGCATTACATTATGCGAATAACAGGAATTACACAAAAAAAGATAATTTTTGGCAACGTTAATTTTCTTTTTGAATTTGGGGTGAGATTTTATCTGGAGATGTTTTTGCAAAAATTTTCATTAATTACACTACAAATATACCGATTCTGCAGGACTCTTTGTGGTTTTGTCTTGCATCCTCAGAGATGAAACATCACAAATCTATGAAACTGACTGTGAAAAGCAGATGCAGTATATGCAAATGCAGAGCCGCACTAAAATGGCATCTGAAGTGTTTTTGAAGAGTGGAACTGAGTTATTAATACCAGATCCCCTGAGTCCAAAATAAACAAAAGACACCAATGATTATTCACAGTAGACCTTACTATCCACGAGCCTTGCAGCTCAGAAAAGAGAGAATAGACAGGAAAAGATGGCGTTTTAAATGAAACCCTGAATCATTAGTGGGCTCTTCTGAGATGTAAATGAACTCTTTCGTGGGCTGAACATTGTCTGGAAGACCTAAGAGGCAAACACTCAGCGTAGTTCATAAATAATGCATTCACCATTCAGAGTCGATTAGACCGCACAAAATATGCACTGCACAGTGAACGCACACCCTTGCTCCCTGCAGAGCAAACATAAATACACAAACAAAACTCGCTGAAACATCTTCAATAACACAGTGTAAAATGAATAGAGAGAATGAACGACAAATGTGTCATGGCTGGAGATGCTGCTTATAGCTGGTCATATTCATAAATGTCAGTCTTTGATGTCCTTTTTGCTCGTGCCAATTACATTTAAGCAATACGGTTTGAGGCCAAAACAGTGGTTTGTGATGGAGATGTTAGACTAGACATAGAGGAAACATCTCCAAAACACACACACACACCTCAGACATACGCTTTAATCTATTGCTTTTCCACAGCATCCATTCCTAAAAATTCACAAAACAAATCATACCCTTGAATAGACGTGGACACGGGTTCTGTGTGATTCTCCCTGTTTTATAAGTCTGAAATTAGACTCTATTCTAGTATAGGAATTAGGGCTGGGTGATATGGCCAAAAAAAATATCACGATCAAATTTTTCATATCAGTTGATATATCACGAATTATCACGATGAATTTAAAATATTTATTTTTAAAGCTGAACGGCAGATTTTTTCCTCTTAAGTGAAAGCTGTGGAAACCAGACCATTAATTGTGGTTTTAAACTACTCATAACATAAACACTTCACGTGTTTGAATTATTTAAAATTCTCTAGTAATTTTTTCTTATCAAAATAAATATCTTAATAGAAAAATTTATTTCTTAGTTTCTGCATGTTCTAATGAGTGATATTTAGGGTTGGGTACCGAACTCGGTACTTTTAAGGGTACTGACCTAATTGCGTAGGTACTACCAAGCACCGATTCACGTTAAATCGGTGCCAAATTTCGGTACCTGAGAACGCATCTGGGCGCATACGCTACAGAGAGAGAAAGAGAGACCCTGTGACGGGATGTCACCCCTGCAACTCGTTCAAACAACACGCAGGGCAAAAACGCGGATGGGATCGTGGAGTCCATTCATAAAAACATAATTTACTCTATAGCGCAGAATGCCATGGAATTCGTAAATTTTGGACGAATAAATCAAAAGTAGCCACTACCACTTAAATCGAATCGTGATATGAACTAGTGTCTGCGAACATTAAAATTCAAAAAGACAATTTAAATATGAGTCCTGCATGTTCCGCTTGCCTCTGTATGTATGAATGGCGGAAATGCGGTTTTGTTTACTACACAAATACTGAAGCACGCGTGACGCTCGCGGTGATTTTCGGCCTCTGCGTCTTACTATATGACGGCATGAACACAAAAACGTAATCTCCAGAGCTGCTGTGAGAGTCACTTCGTGAGAATTTTACCATTTCATTTGAGAAAACTAGCATCATCATACTGTATACACACAGAAACTTGATGGCATCCTGTCAAAATAAAAGTACGGTTTAACATGTAACAGAAATATGTTACTCTTGCATTACATTTGTAAGGAATAATTGACAACGGGCCGTTGAATTATTAGAAAAATAATGCACACCAGAGGTGGTGATGCGGCCACGACGCGAAGCGTCATGTGTAGCCTTTAAGTTGCTGCACTATATAGGCTAACTGATAAAATCGTCAGGGCAGCGCTGACGACACCTTTTTGTGCAAACTGCGTGACCGTAGTGTATAGGGACTGTTAATGAGGACAAGAGAGCTCCCTGGACCTACTTTCGCCGTGCGTTTCCCTGAAAATAACTGCACACCTCAGAACGTTCGTCAGCCAATCAGATTCAAGCATTCAACGGCCCCGTAGTATAAGTACATCTTTAAATATTCAATTTTCTATCAAATTTAAATATAAAACAATTAAATGATAAAAATAAATATTACAACCAGATTAATCACTAATAAAAAAAAATACAATCATTAGCCTATTAAAAAAAATGTTTTAAAGGAATATTCACACAATTTTTCTTCCTTGTATTATTTTCAACAGTAAAACTCAGTTTGTTTGCCAATAAAAAATAAAGAAAAAGTTTGTAGGCCCCTATTGTTCAAAATGTTGAAATTGAGACTTTTGGGCTTATTTTTTCACTGAAATAAATGTTTTTGTAACTACACAGAGTAAAGTACCAAAAAAAGGTACCATTGGATACCGCCACCGAAATTCAGGTACCGATAACGGTACCGTACCGGTTCAAATGTGAACGGTACCCAACCCTAGTGATATTGTTTCAATTCATAAAACAGGTTTGTGTTGCCTAACTTTGACGATGTGTATCTTCAGCACAGTTTGCAGTGCAGGCTGCAATATTAATAACATAACTTTTTTTTTGTCTCTTAGAAATGCACATTTGACAGTAGC